TGATCTCAGGGTGTGGGATCAAGCCCCATGTCAGGCTCCAAGCTGGGCATGGGCATGGGGCCTGGTTGGGATTCTCTCTCTCCCTCTCCCTCTGCCCCTCACCAATATATATATATATATATTTTATCACCACAAAACCCAAAAAGAAATGCCACACCCATTAAGCAGTGGCTCCCCATTTCTCTCTCCTTCCAGCCCCTGACAACCAGTAATTTCCTTTCTGTCTGTATAGATTTACCTATTCTGGACGTTTCATACTAATGGATTCAAATAATAGTGGCCTTTTGTGTTTGGCTTCTTTCATCTAGCATAGGGTTTTCAAGGTTCAACCACGTTGTAGTATGTGTCAGTATTTCGTTCCTTTTTAAGACTGAATGATATTCCATTGTATGGATAGACCACACAGAATGTGGTCTATCTGTTGGTGGACATTTGGCTCGTATGAATAATGCTGCTCCGAACATGTGTGTACACATACTTGAGTCCTTGTTTTCAATTCTTTGGCAAATATTCTTAGGAATGGGATTTCTGGATCACATGGCGATTCTATGTTTAACTCTTCTTTTTTCTAGTTTTTTTTTTTAAGATTTTATTTATTTATTTGAAAGAGAGAGAGAGAGAGAAACAGCATGAGAGGGAAGAGGGTCAGAAGGAGAAGCAGGCTCCCCGCTGAGCCGGGAGCCCGATGTGGGACTCGATCCCAGGACTCCAGGATCATGACCTGAGCCGAAAGCAGTCGCTTAACCAACTGAGCCACTCAGGCGCCCCTCTATGTTTAATTCTTTTAAGGAAGTGCATGGGTACCTTTTCCTAATTAACACAGAGGCACTGTGTGGGTGGGCACAGTGGCATTGCCCATAAGAGTTGCGTGGTCTTCCATCCCCCCAGCCCTTGCCAGCTGCCCAGCCTGGGGCTAGGGCCCCCATTAATGTGACTTGCTTCCCCCCCTCACAGCTATCATCCTGGCAGGAGGCAGAGAAAAGGGCTGAGAGAGGGACAGTGACCCCTTAGTCACACAGCAGTAAGTGGGGGGGGGCGCAGACTTGATCCCAGTCTGACCACTGTGTTCCTGACCACTGTGCCATAAGGTGGGATTGTCAGATGGAGCATTATAAAGTCAGCCGGGGGGGGGGGGGCCTGGGTGGCTCAGATGGTTGAGCGTCTGCCTTCGGCTCAGGTCCTGATCCCGGGGTCCTGGGATTGAGCCCCGCATCGGGCTCTCTGCTTGGTGGGAAGCCTGCTTCTCCTTCTCCCCTGTGCCTGCCTCTCTGCCTACTTGCGCGCTCTCTCTCTGTCAAATAAGTAAAATCTTAAAAAAAAAAAAAAAGTCAGCAGGGCTTTCTGCCTGAAGACCTACCTAAGACCAACTTGAATATCTGGGCCTTTTCTTGTTCTTTCCTTCCCCTGGCTGTACCCTCATCCCCACCCACTTTGGGGGCTGGAGGTCCCCTTCTAGTGGGATGTGGCCATGTGGCCCCCATCTGTCATCTGCCATCCATCATCTGTCCTCTGTCAGCCCCAGCAAGCTATGGGCAAGATCAGAAAACTAGGGCGATCAATGCGGTTTTCTTCAGTCTGCTTGCGTGTGTTGTGCTGCATAGTGCCTGGCTGGGCACCTCCTCCAGGCCGCCAGCCCCAGAGAGAGGAGCAGGGATCTCTGTGGGACGTCCTTGGCTAAGGGTTCCAAATGAGTGTGTGGGTCTTTTCTCCCAGGGCCCCCTCAGCTGTAACCCCCCCTACCTTCTGCAGCATCAATTATTGATGAGGCCCCTATAAGCAGGGAATCCCAGTGGGGGGGGATGGAGGGGAGGGGGAAGAGGGGGGAGGGTCCTGGCTGCCATTTCCAGCCTTCATAGAGAGTGAAGGGGCGGGGACAAGATGAGCTGGTTCCTGAAAGCACGGCCTGTTAGACGGTCCAGGCTGTGGCTTCCAGTGGTCAGAGGCCCAGAGCACCCTCAGGCCAGGGGGTACCACCCACCTGTGGGGCACAAGAGAGCCCTGGGGCTGCTTTGCTTCCCAGAACACCCACCATGTGTCCCTGAAGACAGGGTGGGGAGCAAGCAGAGCAAAGGGCCTGTAGACAGCAGCCTGGGGGGCAGGCTCAGACAGGTGGCCAGTGGTCCTGAATGCTGGGGAGGCGTCTGGGTGTGGGGGTGGAGGCTGGGAAGGATCTGGGCTGCCTGGAAAGAGGTGGAGGCGGTGTGACAGCCACATTTCCCGTCTGCCGATCAACTTCCCTCAGGGGAAGGCCCGACATATGGGAGGTGACATGGGGAGGCCATAGCAGATGGCAGAGGAGCCCAGGAGCTGCTGGGAGGGTATCTCATGTTGGAGCAGCGCCTGAAGTCCTGGGCTTCTTGGGCAACAGTGGACCCAGGGCCCCCCAGTCTTCAGGAGCCCCTTCTCCCTCAGAAGAGGAGGGCCCTCCCTGAGCTGTGTGCTGCTTCTTCTGAAGGCTCCCCTCATCCCATGCCTTCTCTCGGTCCCTGCTCTGGGCCTATGCATTTGCCATGTCCCCCCTGCAGGCTTGGAACCGCTTGTGACCCTGGGCCTTTCCCAGGTACACTAATTCTCATCTGTGTGAATGTAAGTGATCCTCTGTCCATCTCTCTGTTCCAGTTACCTAGATCTTAGGTAAACTTGGGTCTCCCTGCTTAAGAAGCCCTGGGTCTTTCTGGAGTGTGAGGTTCATCTGGAGGTGGCTCCCATCTTATCACCCCCCCCGCCCTGCTGAAGTCAGAGTCGAATGGATCCTAGGCCTCCCCCCGAATCTAGGGGCCCAAAGAGGGGCTAGGGGCATGGGGAGGCAAGTTGGTGGCCAGGGCACAAGATTAAGGAGGCTGGGAGCAAGTGCCCTGCTCCGGGTCACTGGGGTCATCATAGGGCATATGGCTGCAGGGCTGGAGCCTACTAAAACCGTGGGGGCTCAGGCAGGAAGGGGTGACAGAGGAAGGGATTGATAAGCTCATTTCCTGGCTCTGCTGAGGATCCTGAGGAGGGCTGGGTGTGGTTGGAGCCATGCGAATAAACCTCTTTTTGGGGTCACAACCCTGGGTGACAGGGCACTGGGACCACCTGACTGGGGGATAGACATATAAGGGACACAGTGTCCCATGGGTGAGGCTGCTTGGCAGGGACATACATCTGAGGGACAGGTCTCTTCTGAACCATTTGCTTCTGGTCCTCAGTCTCTGCCCCAGAAATGACAGCCACATTTTGAGGTGTTTGAAGAGAATGTCTTTGTTGACTCATAGATTCTGACAGAGGCGGCTCCGTATCAGCTGGTGGGGAACAGATAAGCATGCACAGTGGACAACATGGGGAGAGTTTAATAAAGGACAACTTACAGGGAGTGGGTGTGCATGAGACACTGTGGTTCTAGCTCAGGAGCTATTAACAGGTCACCATTATTGCCCCCTCAATCCTGGGGCCTGAAGGTGAGGGGAGGGAGCCGTTGGAGACTGCCAACCCACCGTGGCTGGGCTCCTCCGTCCCATGACACTTTCCACTGTGTGCCACAAACCTGGTCCTAACACAGCCTGCTCCCTGTCCCCCAACCGCCCCCGCCCCCAGCCAAGATTGTGTCTAGTGGACCAAGCTGAGCCACCAGTCCTCAGAAGGGCCAGCAAGTTCTCTTCGGGAATCCTGAGTGTACAAAACCACAACTACAAGGATGGTCACTGTAGTACCTTTGGTAAAAGCTGGGAGCTGGACACAAACCTCGTGTCCCAGTCAGGGGGCACGGCACCTGGACTCTAGCCCACCACCCGAAGGAAAACTGGCAGCCGCCAAAGGAACAAGTCGGCTCTGTGTGGACAGAGGGCCCCTGCAGGTCAACCAGAATGCAGGCTGCCAGGCAGCACGTGTGGTCAAAGGTCACTCTGGTCAAACAGCAAACGTGACAAGACACCTGACTGTGCTGCAGAGGACTAGTCTGGAAGGGCTCCTACCGCTGTTAACAACACTTACTTCCAAGGACAGGAGGGGGGCTTTCACTCTGCATACAAAGCCTTATAGTATCTTGTTTTGGTTTACAATAAGCATGTACAGAATTCCTTTAAGAGTGATTTATATGAAGAAGTGTTTTAGATAATCTGTAAAAAATTAGAGCTAAAATGTGGTGAAGGGAGACTGAACAGAAAAAGATGCAGGTGTTCTTCCCCAACCAGCATTTGGCAACCGCTGTCCAGCTACCCAGCGTGCGCTCTGGGCACCCCGTGTGCCGGGCACTGTGTGGGGCACTCTTCGGGGCACTGACCAGAACAGCTGTTTGCAAAATGCTCACCATCTTGGAGAAGCAGGTAGGATATGCCCAGATGTGGCCCCCCTGCTTGTGGCACGGGGTGGGCGGGGATGAGTGGGCACCCACCCATGGCTGCGGGATGTGGGGCAGGTGGGGAGGAGGAGCCAAAGACGACCCCTTGGCCAGAAGGGGCCTGAGAGACCCTCCTGTCCTTCCTCCTCCAGAGGAGCAAGGCTGCCCAGGGATCCCACAAGTCTGTGGCCAAGGGACAGTGGACAGTGAGCTGCAAGTCCTGTTGATTACAGAAAAGTCCCAAGCAGGGATGACAGGTGGGGTGAGTTCCCTCATATGCTGGCTTTGACGAGTCCTGCTTGCCTGGACCACTGAGAAGAGAAGGCTCCTGAGGGCGACCCAGGAAAGTTGGCAGAGTGCCTATGTGGGCAGCTAATGTGTGCCGAGGGCGAGAGAGGCGGTGTGGGGCACCAGTGTCTCGTGTCTGCAGTTCCGAGGCCTCTCAAGACCAGGGGGGAATGTCTGGTGACTCTGTAGGTGGCACTGGCCTCCCAGATGATCACCACAGTGCACCCACCAGCAGGGCAGTGGGGGGCTCCTGGGCAGCCAGTGCGGGCCCTTCCTGGCTCCCAACCCACTAAAGAGAAGTGGCTGAGCTCTGGGGCTCAGCATGGTGGGTGGGCAGACATGGATGGCTTCAGGTCATCCCTCCACGGTCACGGAAGGCACTGCCCATGCTTCTGGTGCAGGCCCCAGCTAACAGCAACCCAGGCTGGAGGATGTTGTGCTCTCCTGGGTCTCGGGTGGACTTCCCTCCATTCCTGTAAGGATGGGAGAAGTCACATGGCATCAACTAAGCACCTGCAGCTGACATGGGGCAGCCTCCCTCCCCTGCCACTGGCACCTTCTGGTGACTGGGCTGGTCAGAGCTGAGCCTGACCTTCCAGGCCTCTCTGTCAAGGCCTTGGTGACCTGGCACAGGCTGAGAGGCCTAGGACGTATTCCAGATGGTGGAACAGCGTGGGGAAAGACACAGACTGGCAGAGCCAAAGCCAGGACACATGCACGCAGCCAGGGATGCCCAGCCTGGCTCATGAGGAAGCTGCCGGGAGGGCAAAGAGAGCCAGGGAGCGAGTCTGAGCTGGCAGGCAGGGTCAGGGAGGCTGAGGGCCTGACGTCACAGTAGTGACAAAAAGGGTACCCCAGAGAGGACAGCACAGGAGGACAAGTTAAGGGAGTAGCCTCTTGGGACGGGAGGCTGGTGGACGTTGGTTTTACACTGCGAGCCTGCTCCCCAGCCCCAGCCCCAGCCCCGTGGTCTGTACGCACGGATGAGGTCTCCATCGCCGACCTGGAGCCGGGCGCCGCTCCTCCTCTCCAAGTCCTGTAGAACCGACTGCTCGAATGCCAGGGCGGCTACGCGGCTGAAGAACGCCTTCACGTTCTCCCCTGGGGGCCCAAGAGACAGCCCTGACCCCGTCGCCTCGGCCCTTACGCGCAGACGAGTTTGGGAGCCAGCAGCTGTGGGAGCCAGGGCGGCCCACCTGTGGGACTGTCTGGGGCAGCAGAGGGCAAGGGATGGGGCTGGCTGGCCTGGCTTCCTACCTCCGGGGGCTCCAGGGCACCCTGCCCTGGAAGCTCCCTCAAATCTCCGAGCCTTGGTTTCCCAGCATCTACTCTTCCAATTAATCACCACTGAGCATCTCCTGTGGGCCTGGCACTGGGATGAGTGGAGATCAGAAGGGTGTCTGCTTTCCTGTCACTTTTGAGCACCTGTCCAGTGGGCAGCTGCTGTCAACTCCTACATAGAGCCTTTGTGCTTCCTCCCTCAGGGGGAGAAGGCCACCCATCTGGGCACAGGGCTAGGTTCCAGCCCCAGACATGTGCACTGCCCTTATGCAGCTAACAACCCATACAACTGCACAGGGCAATCCTGCTTGGCCCATAGGGAGTTCTCAGTGAATCTTCTGTTACTCCAAGAGGGCGGGGGTCCCCATAGGGCACGGGGGATGCTGTCAGGAAGCAGAGGGAACTGGGTATGGGCACTGCCACACTTTTATCTGTGTTGGGCTGGAGGCTGTGGTGCCTACCCTTAATACTCCCATCCTTGCCTCCCCCAGTCCTTGGCCAGATGTTGACTGTGGCCCCTTACCCGGGGCAAGGACCACAAGGCATAATTCCAGAGTCCCCAGAGCCACTGGGGCCTTCTATGAGCCAGGCACTGCATGTTACTTCATTTCACAGCCCCCTCCCACCAACAACCTGTGTGTTTTAAGTGTGTCTTTTGCTTCTCTGCATTTTCTAGTTTTCCCTCACTGAATACATATGGCTTTTGTAATTTAAAACACCTTTTCACAGTAAAAATGAAATGAGATGGACAGGGTCACCCCATTTCCCAGATGAGGACACTGAGGCTGAGGTGTTAGGCATCTTGCCAGGGCTGGAGTAAGCAGGGGCCCATGGGTGAGGGCAGCTCAGGGGCTGGTGGCTCAGTGTGGCAGTGGGGTGCCCCTTGTGGCTGGAGGACAGGCTGGTGGGATGTGGATGAGGGTCAGGGGGTCACGAGCAATGTTGCAGTATCTTCCACGATGACACCCGGGGAAGGGATGGGAGCCCCCAGTTACTGGGCCCTTCTATGTGCCAGCCAGGAGGTGCCTCTTACCCAGCTACCTTAGGACGGAGCGGGGGCAGGATGGTACAGTGGTTATAGGTGAGGGCTATATTCCAACCCCAGCCCGGCCGCTTCCTCCCTGTGACCCTGGAAGTGACCTCGCAGGGATGAAATGGATCTGCCTCAAGGAGGGAGGGGGAGGCATTAGAGAACATGGGCCAGGGCCAGGGGTCGCTATTCCTGTTGTCCATGGGGGACGGCCCCCGCTCTCCCTCCAGAGATGAGGAGACCCCTCTCAGGCAGTGGAAGGCCCTGCACGGTCACCAGCACAGCCGGCTGTGACTCAAGCATGCCATAGCGCCACCGAAGGAAACTCCCCACACCCGCTGGGGCAACAGCCCTGCACCCACTCACCTGTCTTAGCGGACACCGACCAGTACTCGGCCTGCATCTCGTTGGCCAGACGCACAGCCTCCACTTCTGCCTGCTCACATGCAGCCCCTGACTGGGAGAAGCAGCCCTCCTGTGGGGGGGCGCTCCCCCCTGTGCCTCCTCCCTCCCCACCTCACCCTGGGATGGGCGGCCTCAGTGCATGGACGGGGGTACACCTTCCTCAGGGGTGAGATCCCAGTGATCCCTCTCCGACAAGACGAAGCACAGGTACCCCCAACTTTCAGCTCTGGGTCTTCCAATTCCCATCTGGGCAAGTCAGCAACACCCTCCATTCCCCAAGCTCCGGCTGAAAGCAGCTGCATTTTCCCGAGGGCCATCCCAAGCCTCTAGCTCTGGTATGCTCACCAGAAGGTCCTTCTTGGTTCCCACGAGGAACACGAAGCAGGAGCCCGGCTCATTCTCCCTTAATGCATCCTCCAGCCACTGCCTGGAATGCACAGAGGGGAAACAGGCTGAGAGGAGAGGTCTGAGGAAGACCAGGGGATGGGGGTGCAGACCCGGGGCCGCCCCAGGGCTGGGAGCACTGAGCCTCAAGTTGCAGGGAGGGCACCCAGACCCCAGCTGGGCCCCGGGTGGACTGCAGGTGGGTGGGGACACAAAAGCACTGGTCAGGGGAGGTGAGGACCCTGCCCTGGTTTGCCCTCACCCGGTGTCACCTTGGGGGAGTCCTGCCCTTTCATCAACTTGAACGATCACCCCAACCGCCCTCACAGGGCTTGGGAGAAGCGGGATATGAATGCCCTAAACCAAAGAGAGGTGACGAGGACTTTCGTCCATTAACTGGATGATTCCCAGCAGAAGCAGATGACCTCCCAGAACTGGTCACGTTACCAACTCTCTTGATCAGGTCTCTGCCCCAGAGAGCAAGGGCTATCCCTTCAGACAGGACTGGATGTATGTAATTTGTAGGACCCAGGGCAAAGTGAAAATGTGAGGTCCCTCATCCAGCAACGATTAAAGCTTCTGAGATGGTGACAGCAGAGCTTTAAAGCAAACGCAGGCCCTCCTGAGTGCCGGCCCCTGTATGACCGGGCTGGCTGTGTACCCTGAGCTGATCCTGCCTTCAGCAGATGGGTGCAAATCTTAAGGGATAATATGGCAATTGGACAGTAAGTGGCCTGTGGGCAGTCAATTCTGACAAGTGAGTCTGGTCCCTTGCACCTCCCACGGGGGGCGGCCCAGCTCATGGGCGATCCCGAACCCAAGGGGACCACAGGGGCCGCAGAGTCCCAGACTTGCCTGGTGTGCCCCAGAGTCTGCACGTCAGTGAGGTCAAAGGCTGTGATGATCACTGGACACACAGGGAGAAGCCAAGAGCCGGTCAGCAACACGTGACACAAACATGGTGTACAAGGAGGGGCTCCCCTCAGGCAGCTCCCTGCTCCCCAAGAGCAAGCCAGAGAGGAGCCTGGCTCCCACAGAACTGCCGGGGTGGCCCCCAGGCAATCAGCCCTGGTCCCCACTATGGAGGCTGGGAAGGAGGCACCCCATGGCTGCCTCTTGGGACCTACCCACCCACCACCCTCTCCAACCCATACCCAGAGGCCCAGCGCCAGAGGGCATCCAGGGAGGCAAGATGAGCTCATGGGCTTCTGTGTTCAAATCTCCCCTCTGCCACTTACAGCCAAGGGAACTCAGGTGAGGGCCTTAACTGCTGAGTGCCTCAGTTTCCCCATCTGTGAAATGGTAAGAACGGTACCTCAGGCTCTCAGGGGTGCTGTGAGGTTTAAGCAAGAACAGCTAGTTTTACAAGCTTTGGTCTAGGGCCTGACACAGGACTTTTGACCCATGGCAGCGATGGCTAGGAGGACAATTAGCAACAACCAGCTTTAGGGGAACAATTTCTGAGGAGCAGGGTGGTTCTCATCACCGGCCCTGCCCAGGTTCTGTGGTGTCCAGGGTGTCCAGGACCCCGCTGGAGTCCTGAGGGGAGTCCCGTGTGGAGGACATTCTAGAAAGGCCGGCTCTCTACTGGGCCTGCGGATGTGAGCAGGGCCAGGCAGACCCTTCCCCTGCAGCTTGGCTCAAGGATGTAGGAGGCCCCCTGGGGCAGAGGGGAATGAAGCAAAGGAGGACACTGAGGATGGTGCTGGTGGCGGGCCGGGCTGCAGTTCCCAGGGTTGTGCCAGGCGGGCCGGGCTGCAGTTCCCAGGGTTGTGCCAGGCGGGCCGGGCTGCAGTTCCCAGGGTGTCATCCCCCTGAGAAGACGGGCCAGAGCTGGAACTCCAGCCCAAGGCCAAGGTGCTCACAGCTTATTTCCTGGTTTAGCCTTTTTTCAAATCTCAAATGGCAATGTTATGATTTCTCTTTACCAGTATCGAGTAGACATAACTGGGCCTCATAACGAGCCTGGTTTTGGATACTGTGAACTGTTCTCCAGTCTCCCACTGAAACCCCTGGGAAGCTGGGGCTGGAGTGAGGGGCCTGTGCTGCTACCTGCTGCCTGGGAGTCCTGCCTAGTGCCTGGGCCACCCCCACTGCCCCCCACTGGCAGTGCAGTCCTCCTGTGGCCCCTCCGCTCCTCCCCTCCAGCCTCGCCTCCTCGCACCTCCTCCAGGAGTCGACTCTGCTCTTTTTTCCTGGGGTCTCTGGACATGCACCTCCCCCTGAGCATCCTTCTGAGCTGAAACTGTGGTTGAGACCCCCAGGGAGCACCCGCCAGCACAGGGTCCCTGAAGGGTGTGACTGCTGAGGCTAACCCCAGGCCTGGCTGGCTGGAAGGCAGTCTCCTCATCCCCGAGAACTGGCTGGGGATTTTCTCAGTGGTTCTTGGAGAGCAGATCTGGTACCTGTGCAGAGGACCTGGACTTCCTGTTATGAGCCCAGTGGGAGCCTCTTGCTGTACATGGCTGAGGGCCCCACCATTGCTATCACTCGGATGCTCACCCTGAGCACCCCGGTAGTAGGCAGATGCAATGCACTTGAACTTCTCCTGCCCTGCTGTGTCCCAGCTGTGTGGTGGCAGAGACAGAAAGGGAAAAAGAGAGGTGGCAGATTAAGCAATTGCAGTGGTCTGAGCCAGCAGGTTGGTGGGGCTGTGGGCAGGCAGGCCCTAGGGCCTGTGCCAACTACTGGCCAGAGGTCCCCGTCCCGCAATTCCTCGTGATTTCCTTCCTAAGGTGCCCCGTGGGGGAATTCCCTGGCTGGATTCACCATGCCTGTGGGGGAAGGGCATGCCCTAGTTCCACTGCCTCGATGAATGGAGTTGTAGCTCCGCCCCTTTGGACCGTGCCATTAAAAAGGAGACTATGCTCCCTGATGTGCTTGCCCTGAAGATGTGGAAGTCCACCTGTAGATGAGGCCCCATGAATGGGACTGGCCCTCCCGGCTATGGTTCTGCTACTTGCTCATGTGTGGCTGGGCCATGGCTCCACGTTCTGCACTGCAGCAGAGGGGAGGCTCAGTCCCTGAGTGGGGGGTGGGAGTGTCTAACAGGGACGTGGTTTGTATCTCCTGGGTGACTCTGATCAGTTAGCTCTGGCTCTCTGGAGAAGTGGAGCCCCGGCTCTATGGAAAAGAATGCAACAATCAATTAATGATGTCTGCCATCGGCACAGTATAGGACAGGGGGACACACATACTGAGATCTACTTGCTCTGGTTTGGAACCAGGCAGGTGGTCAATATGCAGAGCTGAGTCTGAAAATCCATCCTTTTTTAAAAATTAACAGCTCAAAATTTAACTTTCTTCCATAAATGGAAAAGTAGACAAGCCATGAATAAGATCTCAGTGGTCTGAAATTTTTTGAAGTGATTCAGCATTGATGCAGAACTTTTTGGCCCTATTCTGTCATGAATTCACTCATATTGTCTTTCGCTTCTGAAGATGACGCTGGGTGGGAAGCTGGGAGGGTGGCTTGAAGGTGGGGCCGGTTGGGTAGCTGGCAGTGGCCTCAGTGTAGGGACAATGAGAAGGCAAGCCAGGACAGCGTCTCTGTTCTAGTTAGATAAGGCCGGTGGCCCGCTCTCAGCCCGGCTCCACCTAGGCCATCCCATCAGCTCTGTGCTCCTCGGCTCTCCTGGCTCCAGAGCCCCTCGGGCCTCAGCCCTGCATTTTCACAGTCTCTTCTGCCCTGGTCTGGCCCTGTACTCTCCCTTGAACAAGATTCGGTGGTGCCACCTGGCTCTAGGACCGCACTGGGGCCGTCCTCAGAGAAGTGGGCATTATCATGACAGAGTAAGGAGCTGAGGTCCATGAGAGGGTGAGCTCCATCCTGATGACCACGGATCCCCAGGCTAAGCCCAGGAAGGGCTTAGAGGGTTGAGGAACGAAACCAGAGGATCAGGTGTGACCCCCAGGGAGAGAGAAAGGAGAAGGGGACTAGGACAGAGGCCGCGGGAAAGAGGGGGGTAGGGGCAGCTGGGCAGAGAGCCTAGGAAAGGCAGGGGGCCACACAGGAGAGCCTGGAAGGGCGAGAAGTCACACAGCAGAGGGGAGGGCTGGTGACACAGGTAGACCTGCACGATCGTCCAGGTGCCAGAGGAGAGGGACGGCAAGGTCCAGAGCTCTAGTGGGAAAGTGTGAGCCTGGGGGAGAGACTCTGGGCTGTTCTAAGGGAAACTACAGGGGAGGGGCTGAAGCCAGTGGGCCACTGAGAGGCAGAGACATGGGGTCTGGCAGGGGAGCAGACAGAGGGAGAGGGGCAGGGGGAGTGGAGTGAGGGCAGAGGGGTGAGGAGGAGGGGGGTGCATCAAGCCGGAGGAAGGCACGTGGACTAGGTGGCCTCCCCCAGGCCCCAGCATGCAGGGACCCCTGTGGGCTCCACTTTCCAGATGAGAACAGATGCTCAGAGGTGTGAAGTGACTTGCCGGAGGCCACCCTGCTGGCCCGGTGAGTGGGGTCACCGAGGGCCAGGCAGGCTAGGGGCGGGGACCCGGAGCCAGAACGCAAGGGGCGGGTATCAGGGCAGCACGAGGGTGGGTGGGCACATTGGGCTGTGAGGACTTTCCCAGGTCTGATGCCCAACGTGAGACACCCCGCATGGGGAGTGACGGAGTATACAGGGCTTCAGGGAACTGGAAAAGCCCAGTGTCATACCATTCCTGTTTGTCCAGATAGATCCTCACTGAACACCACAGGGCACAGTCCAGAAGGAGCTCACCAAGGCTTTCCCCATGGGTCTCCCTCCACAAAGCCCACCCATGAGCCACACAGGACATGGTGTGACACAATGGCGACTCACATCTGCAGGCTGTAGGGAATCCCAGCGATCTCGAAGCGCTCGATTTCAAAGTCCACCCCGATGGTGGCCTTGTAGTGACGGTCAAAGACATTCTTGCAAAACCTGTGGGAGTCGAGGAAGTCATCAGAGAGGCTGTGTGTGGAAGTTTTGCTCACAACAGTCAAAGTCTGCAGGCAACAAAAAGTCCACCCACAGGGAATATAAGGAGATGATGGTCCACGGAGATAGACAGTAGACAGACGGAGCTGCTGACGAGAACTGTGGTGGGGAAGAGAATCTGCTGCAGCCCAGGAGGCAAACGCTGCAGGTCAGGGCCAGTGAGGTGTGAGTCCATGGTCCTGGGGGATGGTGCCACTAATGTCAGGGTCCCAGGACGCTGCACCCCTCCGCCCCACCTGCCACTTCCTAATGCCTTGTACCCCCTCCGAGGTGTGGTTCCCAGCAGCCACACAGTTTTAACTATGACAATGTTATCTGGGCCTCCCAGGGAAAGGCATGACAACCAGTGCTGGGAGGTGTGGCCAAGCGGGTGCACCTGTGGATGAGGCTGGTCTTGCCCACGTAGAGATCGCCAACGACAACCACCTTGGAGAGTCGCAGCCTGTGAGGGATACGGTTGTGTTGCTTGCAAGCAGAGTCACAGAGCATCTTCACACGTACAGGCCCTTCCTTCCCTGAGCTCCCCACTCATGAGCCACATCTCAATCCTTGACAGGGGATGGGGCACCTGCTGAGACACTCTGGGATGTCTGTCCCCATGCCTCGCACTCAGAGGGGAGGGCAGGAGGGCCTGCATCTGTTCTGGGGACTCTGCTGTCTCTGGGGCTATGTGCTCTTGACCCCACTGGGCCCAAGCCCTGTTGTGAGAATTAGAATTGGGCACAATGGGAGGCTGAGTCTTGGGCTGACGGAGTAGAGGAAGGAGTCCCAGGTGGGGCTATGTCCAAGCTGGGGGCACACGCAGTAAGGAACCTGGAGTGAGCTGAAGGTGCAGACACAGTGTCAACGTGCAGGGGATACAGCCATGGGGGCAGAGCCCCTGCCCCCTCCTACCCATGCCTGGGGCTGCACGGGCTCCTGCTTTTTGCAAGCAGGTACTCCCTGACTGGGACACCACCATCACCAACTGCCTTGGAGGTGTCTGCAAGGGCCACACAGGCCCCAAGGGGTGAGCGGTGGCCAGGACTCAGGCCAGGACTCAGCTCTGGGCTATGGCTTGAGGTAAACTGGCTGTGAGGTCTTGGGTTCTCTGAGGACCTTGCTCACTGAGAGCAGCCCCCACCCCACCCTGTATGTGTGTCCTGCACTCCCTGCAGTAGCATGCCTGGCACGGTGGGTGGAAGTTTCTGCAGCTCATGCCAAATGAGCTCAATGGGCAAACATTTGACCGGTACTTCCTCTGCCTGCAGACAGCAAGAAGGCACCCGTGTCAGCTGGTGACCTGGTACAGCTCCCCTGGCCATGTCTGGGGGCCCAGAGGCTGTGTCTTCTCTGCTCCCAAGTGGCCTCTGGTCCTGGAGCAGGGTGGACCTCACTCTGCTTCCCAGATGAAGGAGTAAAGGTACTGCCGAGGTATTATGGGGGCCTCAGTTTCTCACCTCCCAGAGCCATTGTGAAGAGTCAGAGAGGTAGTCTGCGTAAAGCACCTTGTACGGAACTGGCCCTCCTTAACTGGTGGCCGTTGCTCTCATCCCGTGAGCATTCGGACCTGAGCCTGGCCTCACTCTGCACAACCTAGGGAACCTTGGAGCCAGGGGCTTCCACTACAAGCTCACCACACCTGTGTGACACCTGGGAGCTCCTCAGGAGGAGAGGCAAAGCAGGCCCCGGTACCTGTGTGTTAAGAGAAGGAGTAACTGGGGCACCTGGGTGGCTCAGTCAGTTAAGCGGCTGCCTTCGGCTCAGGTCATGATCCCAGGGTCCTGGGATTGAGCCCCGTGTCAGGCTCCTTGCTCAGAGGGAAGCCTGCTTCTGCCTCTGCCTGCCACTCCCCCTGCTTGTGCTCTCTCTCATTCTCTCTGTCAAATAAATACATAAAAAATTAAAAAAAAAACAAAGAGAAGGGGTAACGGGGGCAAGCTCCCCGTGCCGGCAGGGCTAGGTGGTACCAGGTGCTGCCGAGGCGGGAACAGGACAGACACAGCCCTTGCCCTCACAGGCTACATCTGGTGGGGAATCCAGAGAAGCAAACTTGTAATTCTGTGAGATAAGTGCTTGGGACCCAGCAGGGGCACCCCGGCCAGCCCAGGCCGGGGAGCGGGGGGTAGTGCGGGACTCCCCTGACACTATACTGTGAGCTGAAGGGTAGGAAAGACGGTCCAGACAGAGGAAGCAGACATACGCCGAGACCCCCTGGCTCAAAAGTCATGAGCATGACTTACTGAGAAAAGGGAAAGCCGTCCTCTATGGCAGCAAAGCCAGACAAAAATCGCCATCGGCTCCAGGCCCACACTGGGCTGTACAGGTGTGGTCTGTGTAAGTGTTCCATTTGGTCGTTCGGACATTCATCCATGCATTCATTCCCGCCCGCTGCCTCCCCCCACATCTTGTGCCCACTCACCCCACAGTCCCAGTGTTCCTGCGCTGGCAGGTGGTGCTGACCTGCCCATGGAAGTGCTCCTTGAGCTGCAGGCAGGCCTCAGGCGTGTACCACTGGAAAAAAGACAGACAGACAGATGGGCATTTCATCCCGAGAAGCTGCAGCTTCATCACCAAGCAGGGCAGCGAGGTGGTGGCTTGCCTCCCAGCATCCCCTCCCTCCTGAGCCTTGAAGCTCCAGCCTCGTTAGCTTTCCCTGACCCCCTCTGTCACAGCCGTCCTCGATCCCCTCGGTGGCCCTGAGACTCCAAGCTCTTATGAGTCCTGAGGAGCAGCAGTGGGGGCCGGGCCAAAGGGCCCAGGTGGCAACTCAGAGAGTGGGGTCTCGCCTGGGGCAGCTGTGCCCTTGCTGTGGGCGTGTGGCAGGTCTCTGTCCTCTCTGGACCTCTCTGAGTGAGAAGAGGGGTGGGCTGTAAGGGCCCTTTTAACTCCGAGATCCTTCCATGCCTTCTATGGATCTTGGATGGCATTTTTTGCTTTAAAAATATCTATCTATGTGTTTGGAAAATGTCCTGGAGGGCTCTTTGGGTCTTCCACAGTTCTTGGAAGGCAAATCTGGGCTATGGTTGAAGAACATAACCGCAGGGTAGGAGGACCTGTGTCTCCCTTTAGCTGCTGTGTGATCCCAGGCAGCTGTCTAATGTCTCTGAACTTCAATTTCCCCAACTATAAGACCTCGAAAGCCTGGGGGCATAAAATAAAATAATGCTTGCAAAGCCATCAGCGCAGACCCAGCCTGGCATATACTAAGTGCTCAACAAATGTTCACGGCTATTAAGATGTCACAACACATGTTGAACACATGTTTATTTTATAATTGGGAAAGATGACATTAAAGAAACTAAAGGTGACGGCTATGTTTTGCTCTCAGATTGGCAGAGGCTGAGGACGGAGCGTGGTAAGGATGTGGGGAGAAGGGCACCGTTGGAAGCTATTGGTGTGCCCTGCTGTGATATGGCAGCAGTCCCCTGGGCCACCTGCTCTGTCCTTCGGGGCGCTGCTTTGACCCACAGCTCCCCTGTGACAAGGACTCCACCCCCACCCCTAGCCGTAGCATTTCTCTGAGTTCCCAGGCACTGAGATGGGCTCTGCCCTGGCCCATCTGCCCCCTCAGCTCCAGGCATGATGGAGGCAGCAGGGACAGTGGAAGGAGCTGTACAAAAGGGCAAGTCACAACATCTCAGTGAGCCCGTTTCCTCATCTGTAAAGCACTCATAACAGCAGCTCTTCATGTGGTCGTTGGAGGATCAAACGGGGGTGATGTAGATGAACAGCTTAGCCTTGCAGCCCACATTCGTGTGGCACAGTGTCAGCTACCTCATGAGAAAGCTGGATGCTTTTTCCTGTCAACTTTCATGTCAGCTTCAAATGGGGGGTCAGCCTGGCCATGGTGGTGGTCACTAGAGGAATCCCACCATTTTGGATGCACTGAAGAAATGTAGTAAGGAAGACTGGGCAGGAAGTGTGAGCTGATTTTAGAAACAGGGAAACTGAGGCACAGAGTAACGGGAGGGGCTTGCCCCACCTGACCACGAATTTCCCAGGACTGAAGTGTGTGACCCCGGGATACCGGATGAACTGCCACCGACAGGAGCGGGGAGAATCTCATGCCCTCAGTGAAAACATGATGGATGCCCCAGGCTGCCCCTCAGGGTAGGGGAAGGTTGGAGCCCTGGAGTCAGACCCAGGTCAAGTCCTGGCTCTGCCACGCCCAGCTGTGTGATGCCAGGCAGCACTCCCTACCTCTCTGAGCCTTGCTGATCTATTGTGGAAATGGAGTCCTCTGTCCTGTGAGACCTGAACTGTTTTGTGCCGATCACACTTCCCTTCCTTTTGGCTCACTAAACATCAGTGTCCATCATCCCTGGTGACCACCTTCAAGCTCTCTAGGGAAGCAGTGGTCTGGGCCTCTGTTGAGATGCAAAATTCTGGGGGAATTGTCCACAGGTCCAAGGTACCACAGCCTTCTCTGTGGATGTGTAGAAGCAGAAAAGGTGAGAAGGTATGACTGCCGGCCCAAATTACCCAAAGTCTGCAGTCACCTCCTTCATCCTTACCAGCCTGGGCACAGAATTCAACAGACAGAGAGGTCACTCCATGGAGAGGATTTTTCCCTCCATGCCTGTCCCAAGTCACATGGAGGCAACCACTGAGAACAGGATCTCCTGTGCCCTTCCAGAGATATTTTTGGCATGTGTAAACAAACATATACATTTGTTTTCTGCCCTCTCCTTTTTCCACCCATGGAAGTACGCTAGACATACTGCTCCATTCCTTGCATTTTTACTTAATTGACTTTGGACCTTACTGCATATCCAGTCCTGGAGGGAAGCCTCATTCTTCCTCCTGTTTGTGTCAGGAAGGAGCATTTTGCTGTTGAAGCAGCGCCCCCTGGAGGACATTTACGTTTCGTCTGACCTTCTGCTTTACAAACTGCTCCAATGCCTGGCCTTGAATGGCTGGATCAGAAGGCAGGGGCATCGCAATGCTGGGAAATACTGTCCCACTGCCCCTCTAGGGGTTGGACTGATTTGCATCGCCTGATGCAATTAATACTGGATTTTTTTTTTTAAATTTCTTTTAAGATTTTATTTATTTATTTGAGAGAGAGAATGAGATAGAGAGAGAGCATGAGAGGGGGGAGGGTCCGAGGGAGAAGCAGACTCCCTGCTGAGCAGGGAGTCCGATGCGGGACTCGATCCCGGGACTCCAGGATCATGACCTGAGCCGAAGGCAGTCGCTTAACCAACTGAGCCACTCAGGCGCCCTAATACTGGATTTTAATACACATGGAAGAGAGCCGTGTTTTCAGCAGGAACCGAAGGCAGACTGCTAAGGAGGGAGGACTCTGGATTTGGTGTCAGGAAACCAGAGTGCTATTTTGATAATAGTAATAATAACAACGAGAACAGCAGTGACCACGGCTCAGGTAAGGGAACTCCTGTTTACCAACAGCCAGGCACCCAATGTGAGGAATTAGCCTTATGTATTAGCAGCTCTGAGAGGCTGAATAACTTGCCCACAGTCACATACTTTGACAGAGTCAGGATCCACACCCAGGACCTTTGCAAACCCTGCAAAGTCTGTACCTTTAACCTCCATGCCACATTGTCTCCTGCTGTCCCGCTTAACTTGCTGGTCCACCTTGGGCAAGTCAGTGCCAAGTCTCCCTGTTTCTGAAGAAGTCTAGTAAGTTCCCAGGGTCTGTTAGAGAGGGACTGACCTCCCCGATTCTCCTGCTTTGTTTCCGGTGGTGGATGCAGGTGGGGAAATGTGGGTGTGGACATGGTGTTGGGAGAGCAGGGTACGCGGAGAGGGCTGGCTAATGACTCTCTACCTTCGGGAAGCTGGTGATGATGCGGTCCCGGCTCACAGGCGGCCCCAAAGGCGTCAGCGAGGACCTCATCCTTCCAGAGTGTCCTGTGGACCCAACCAGGGGAAAGAGAGTTAGGGAGCTGTGGCAATCCTTGGGGACTCAACCTCAAGTTTATGTTTAACCTCTCAATAGCTTTAAACATTGATCCACACACCTTCTCTGTCAGGGAAACTGGCCAGAGGTCATCTCTTTCCATCTGCAGGCAGTTTGGCTGGGGTGGGGGTGGAGGGGACCAGGCTTTCCTGGCCTTGCCTGGGAGTCAGGAAGACCTGGGTCTCCTCCTGCCGGGTGTCTAACCGGGAGTGGCCCCTCTCTGAACTTATCACTGGGGTGTGAGTGGGGCATGGCGCAAACGCCAAGCTGTGCCTCATCACAGCCCAGGGGGAGGAAGCAGAACTGGGGTGGTCTCCAAGGGATGAAGGCTCTGCGTGGGTCAGGAGCCTTAGGTTTCAGCCCACAGGCATTTCCCCCGTACCCCCTCACCGCGCCCAGCACCTGGCCCTTCACACCTATTCAGCAGCCCTGCGTCTCCTGTCCTCCTCCTCTTCCCACTAGGGTGGCCTTGGCCACGTCCTTAACCGGGCCTATCGTCCTCCCGGATCTGCCCCGGCTCTCCTTCAGGACCAACACGGGCCTGGCCCAGGGCGGGCGCTCAGGAAATGAGGAGGCCCCGGGGCTGCAGGCCGCGGTGTTCGGGTTAGGGCCATGGGAGGTGGGCGCGCAAGCGGCGCCCTCCCAACCAGGGCCTCCTGGAACGTGCCTGCACCGGGAGCGGACTAGGGTGGGGCAGAGGGGGCGGCGGACTCACCCGCGGAGGCTGCAAAAGCTCCAGAAGCCGCGCGGCCTGTTCTGGCTGGGCCGGTGGCCGCGATCACCATAGCAACCAGCGCCACGCGGGACCCGCCGGCGTCTAACGAATCCCGGGCGTCGGGGACGGGGTCTGGGCGGGGCTCACAGCGGAAAGAGTGCCACACGCGGTTCAGGGCGGTCACCGTAGCAACCGGAGCCTCTTGGGGGGAGCAGCAGAAGCTTCCGAGACACTGTGCGAACGCCGGCGATCACCATGGTAACGAGGGCGGGATTGGGCAGGCGGGCGGTGGGCGGGGACAGGGCGGCCAGGGGGCGGGGCCGAGGCCCCAGGGGCGAGGCGGGGTGGAGAGACTCGCGCACCCCGCTTCCATAGGAAAGGTGGTAGTTTAAAGGAACGGGTAGGGATTATGTGAGGTGTTTAAATATTTATTTTCATAATATTAAATACGATTTTTTTCTGGTTATCTAAATATTTCGTGTTTTTCTTTATTATTGGTACGGAGGGATCTCCAAGATCCCTTGACTCCTTTTTCTCACAACCCGTATCAGATTTATCAGTAAATCCATAGGTTCTATCCTGAAAATTTGTCCAATATCCTCTTACCTCCCGCCCCTTCCACTTTGTCCAAGCCAGCATCTTCTCCCCCTCCAACTAGTCGCCTTGCCTTTACCCTTGACCTTATCCATTCCCAGTTGGGTGACTCAGGGATCCTCCTGTTAAAACAGATCAGATCATGGCAATCTTTGGCTCCAAACCGTCCAGTGCCTCCTCATCTCGCTCAGATTAATAAAATCTTTACAATGGCCCAAGAGGCTTCACGTAATTTGCTCTGGCCTTATTTTCTCTCATCTTCTACCGCTTTCTCCCCATCCCCCCATCCCACACAGGCTCTCCTGGCCTCCTTACCGTTCCTGCAACACACAAGGCACCGGAGTGTTTGCACTGGCTGTTACCTAAGCCTGGGATGCTTTTTCCCCTGATATTCACATTGCTCCCCTCCTTCCCCTTCTTCAAGTTTGCTCAGATAACACCACTAGATGAGGCCTCCCCAAAGCAGCCTATTTACAATTGTAGCATCCTCCTAACCCCTTATTCGGCTCTGTTTCTCCCAGGCACCTACTATTTTCTAACATATTATATAACTTATTGTTTTTGTTGATTGTCTATCTCCCTTCACTGGCTCCATGGAGAGCAGGAGTGTTTGTGTTTATTTCATCCATGTGTCACGTGGGCTAAACAGTGCCTGGGCATAGCAGACATTTAGGGAATGTTAAGTGACTGAATGAATATTAAATTTTAAAAAAAGAAGGTAGAGAACACTGTTTGAAGTATGCTGCCACAATAAAAAGTAAATGAATCATATTAACTTCTGTAAGTGTAGCTTAGCTCTGGAGAGATACCAGTGGTTGCTATAGGTAAGGACAACCTGTTGGCTGGGGACTGAGAAGGGAGGGAGACATCTTACTTTCATACTTTCTAGATTTTCCTCTATGTGCATATATTGCCTATTCAATAAATAACTCAAATGAAAATAACCAATTTGGAACACAGATGATAAATAACATCCCCCCATCTCTGTCCTTGCCGGGTCAGTCTTGATGTATTTTGGTGTGCTTCCCTCCTTCAGGTCTTTCCTGCAGACACTTCCTCCTCTCGGCAACCATGGCATAAGAACTTCGATTGGAGTGAAGCCCCCTGAAGTGGCCTACTATTCATTGACCTTAATCTGCATAGTTCTGAATCTAATGAAGCCTGAATATCATATGCCTGGCTTCTAGAGCTCATATTATAAAGTTAATTTCTATAATTAATGGCTGTTTAAAAGCTGACCTGATTCACTGAGCTCCTATAAGCTAGTTTCTGTTTGAAGAGCGAGGCATGTGGGCTAGATGGCCTCCAGAGACACTTGTAAGACTGTGTAATCACAAAATGAGAGAGTAGTTAGCTTTGGAGAGGAAGATGGGGTATGAGATAGGGGAAGAGAATGCAGGCATTGATAATGTTCTGGTGGTGGATTCACATGTAATTATTATATTTTTATGTTTCATAATTAACATATACACTAATATAATGTTGAGTGTATCTTTAAAAGATAACAAAAAGGAGATGGAAAAATAATAGAACTGAAGGATAATTAAAAAAAAAAAAAAAAAGGACTCCGTAACCAGATTTTGAAAGGCCCAGGGTTCCCAGCTTTGAGAAGCTACTTGATTCAGCTCCCTGATTTCACAGACAAGGAACCTAAAGCTCACAAAATCAAAAGAATTTGCCCAGTGAGTTAGAACTAGAATTGGAAACCAGATTTCCTGACTCCTAGTCCAGTGCTCTCCACACCACCTTCCTAAAAAAACTAGGAGGCTCTGGGTTAGAGATCCTTTATGACTAGGTCCTTTGAAGAACCACAGTAGGGGGCACGTCACACATCACAATATGGGATCCTGGGCACACCGATCTAAGTTAGTTATCTTCATTTCAAAGCTAATTGTGCTGGAGGCTAATGTTTGGTGCCTTTGTTAGTTAAGTTTCAGTGCTAAGGGCTCAGGCTTAGGGGGTGGACTTATGTGAGTCGCTCTACCTCTTCCTGAGACTCAGTTTACTCAGCTATAAAATGGATGTGACTATCAACTTCAAGGTGACTGAAATTTCTGGTATATTCCTGACACTGGAAAGGCAAGTAAACAGGACTGACAAGGGAAGTTGGAGTCTGCTGGGGGAAACAGAAATAAATAGAGAATTAGAGGAGGAAGTGTGCCAATGGGATAATTAAGCTGTGGGATCATTTACTAATTTGGAGTTGGGGAGAGGATAGGATTCATGGAGGAAGTGTACACCAAGCTGTGTCTTGAAGGACAAAGAAGTGGTTAGCGTTACAAGCAGCTCAGGCTGCAGGAAAGGGTTGACCATTTGGGAAATTAAAAGAATCCAGCATGGCTGAAGGAGGCCATGACTCAGGGCCTTGAGTAGCAGGCTAGGAGTTTGGACTCTGTCCTGAGACCAGTGGGAAGCCATGGGAGAGTTTTATGCAGGTGATGGCTGGGTCTGGCTTGCTTGAAAGAACAATTGCTCCAGTCAGCAGTGTGTTTGCTCCACGGCAGGGGCGATCTATGTCATTAGCAGGTAATCAGATTGTAGATGAAGGAGCATGGGCCAGGGCTAGACGGTCCAGGGATCAGGCCAGTGTAATTTGGGGGAAGCTACTGAACCTTTCTGAAGTTTGTCTGTAAACTGGACGTGATCACTTCCCGAGTTTACTTCGAGGATTAAAGGCATACAGTGTTCAATTCAGAGAAAGAGTACAATCACTTCGCTTCTCTTTTGTACCCTGAACAAAGCTGAGCCGTCTTTGTTCCTCCCAGTAACCCTGTAAAGCATCATTGTCCCCACTTTACAGCTGGTCCCGGCCCCGGGGCCGTTCGCGCCTGCGCGGCGGGCGCTGCGGACGCCGCGGGGTAGCCTGGCAACCCGGTCGCCTGGCAACGGCGCTTCCGGGACCGCGGGCTGAGGCAGGTGAGCCAGCGGCCGTCAGAGGGAACAGGGGGTCCCCAGATCCACCCAGCCCGGTTCACGCTGGGCTCGCGTCCTCTTACCTCCCTAACCCATGCTCCTTAGAAGAGGGGAGGCCCCTGTCCCCAGCACCCACTGTTCCTTGCCCGAGGAGCCCAGAAATGGCCACGTCCCTCCCAGCTAGGCCCCCTTCCCTCTTGCCCCGTCATTTGGTGCCCAGAATCAGAGTCTGGCTCACCTCCTTTATTGGAGTTGATCGTTCCTACAGGGCTGGGACTGTCACTGGGACTAATCGCAGGAACCACCACCCCCATAATAGTAGCCACAGAGGACATGACATATCCAGAGCCTGGTGTGCCAGGCTCATGAGTAGCAGTTCACATGACCACTCTGGCAGGGAGGGAAGGAGGTGCTATTATCACCTCCCTTTTGCAGCTGTAGAAAGACACAGATAGAAGAAGGAACTTGTCAAGGGCCACCCATGGCCTAGGTCTGGAGCCCATTCTTAACTACAGTTGACCCTTGAACAACATAGGGGTTAGGAGTGCCAATACTACCCTTCCTCCACAGTCAAAAATCCACTTATAACCTTTGACTCCCTCCTTAACTACTAGTAAGCCTACTGTTGACCAGAAACCTTACCAATAACATAAAGTCGATTAACATGTATTTTATATTTATTGTATACTATAGTCTCACAATAAAGGAAGCTAGAGGAAAGAAAATGTTATTAATAAAAGATAAGGGAGAGAATACATTCAGTATTTATGTAAAAAATATTTATGCAAAAAGTGTGTTATGTAAAAAATGTACTGTATTATAAAAAAATCCATGTGTAAGTGGACCTGTGCATTTCACACCTGTGTTCAAGCGTCAGCTATACAGAGCCACACTGCCTATAGTTGCTCCAAGTGTGTATGTGTGTAATAAAAATAAATCACACTTTAACCTTAATTCCTTTTTTTGTGGATATGTCAGAAGTATCTGAATACTATACAGTGGCTAACTGAACATAATAAAAAAAAACTAAAAAAAAAAAAAAAAAAAAGAAGAAGCATCTGAATAGGGTCCCTGATGGATGAATGAACTAGACCTGGATTTGAACATTGGCTCCTGGCCTTATCAGGTCCATGACCTGAAGCCAACTCCTATCCTTAGACCTCAACTGCTACCTTTGTAAAATTGGGATAACACAAGTCCTCTCCTTCTGGAGTAGTTGAGTTAAATACTGGGTGTTGCTGGCATAAGATAAGTACTACCCGTCGTGACCACATTTGTGTTTGCTCATTTGGTCTGTTTTGTCTCTTTGGTGCCTTTGACCCAAGGCCCAGCCTGGAAAGTATTGGTGATTTCCTCTGTTGTTAAGCATGGGAGAACTCTGGAGTTTGCAATTTGGGCTGCTATTGACCTTTACTGTGACTTTGAGCAGATTCCTTTATTGCTCTCAGCGTCAGTTTGCTCATCCATAAATTGGAAGTAAAGATACCCACCTGACTGCCCTTACAGTTTTGAGGATCAAATGAGAAGTAGCTTCTAAATCCCAGTGGTAATAACGTTAACTTTTTGGGTTCTCTTAATCAGTGGTTTCTGCAGAGCTTTGTTTTGAGAGCTAGAGAGTTGCCCTCTGCAGGCGTGGAAAGATGGCCCATGCCCGGATCTCCACGTACCTGCCCCCCGACATCAACCCAGCCCAGGCCGCCATTGCCTATGGCTGTCGGGCCCTGCCCAAGCTGAACGAGGAGCTGCAGTC